GGAGTTTAGGGCTGTTGTACATAGGGTCGCTATGAGTCGCAGGCAACTCGACGGCGCATAACAACAACAACAACAACAACAACAACAACTCATATTTGGTGTCTTCCTGACAACAAAAACCTGTGAGGGAATTAAGCATTTTAATATCTTCTTGTAAAGAGAATATTTTACCTAGACAAAATAATATGTTACCACCCAGTAAATTTTTATAAACCTGATGAGGTAAAATCCAAATATTCAGAATAACCTTGAAAACAGAAACAACCTGGTTGTGGTGCAGAGTTGAGGAGGATGAAAGGTGGAAGGATGCTCCAGGCTATTAGCCTTCCTTACACTGCGAGCCTACTACGTAGATTTAGACCCACTGCCAGTGAGTCACTTCCAACTCACAGTGCCTCTTTCCTCAAGTTTCTGAAGCTTAACTCTTAATGGAAGGGTGGTAGTGTTGCAGTTAAGTGCTGTCAAATCCAGTATGACTCATAATGATCCTATGAACAGACCGGAACCCTCCCCTTCCTGTGTTATCCTTACCATCTCAGACACATTTGAGCCCATTGCTGCTGTTACTGTGTCAATCCATTGCATAGAGGTTCTCCTTATCTGACCCTCCACCTTTCCCAGAATGATGTCTCTTGGCAAGGTATAACCTCTCCCAACAATAGGCCCAAAGTGTGTGAGCTGAAGCTTCTCCATCCTTGCCTTCTAGGGGTACTCTGGCTGTACTTTTCTTAGGACATATCTGTTCTTCATCAGTCCATATGATATTCAGTGTTCTTCTTAAGGACTAAAGCTCAAAAGCATCAATTCTTTTATCTTTATTTACTGTCCACCTCTCAGACACATAGCAAGGGAATAAAAGATCATGATCTGAATGAGGTGTACCTTAGTCTTCAACCTGATGTCATTTTTCTGCTCATCTTTCCCTCAAAGAGCAGCTGATGAATTCAAACCACTGATCTTCCTATTAAAATGAACCTTTGGCAGGAATCAGGAGAAAGTTAAGCAACCACAAAGAAACATCTACTTACAGGTTTTTCCAGCTCAATAGTATAGTTTTTTCCTATGCTTATCACTTTGTAGTGCTTGATTCTTGGCATGCTAAAAAGGAAATAAATGTTAATCTTCATTAATTCAGTGATAAAATAAATATAGAAACTGTAGAGTAAACCTATATTACCATAAATAATTTGGAAAAAAAGTTTTGATAGGTTTTCTTTATCTACCTGGTTTTTATTTGTGTGAGCAACACTCATTGCTTTCTGTGAATTCTGACTCATGAGAAATCTCTATTAAGCTTCTGAGACTATAAAAATTTACAGGTGGAGACTTCCCATTTTCCTTCTGTAGAGCAGCTGGTGGGTTTGAACTGCTGAACTTTTGGTTAGCAGCACAAAACATAACCAACTAAATCACCAAGACTTCTATTGCCATGTGGGCATGTGGTGTTGGGTATCGTTGAGTCAGAACTGACCCATAGCTGACCCTTTATCAGGTTTTCAGGAACAGTAAAACCTATCAGAGGAGAATGACCATTTTCCTTCTGTGGTGCAACTGGTGTGTTTGGACTGTGCACCTTTGAGTTTGTAGTGAAAATAAAATATATGTTCTCTGTATTAATCACAACAAACAAACTCACTGCCACTGAGCCAATTTTGACTCACAGTGACACTCCACCAGATTTCAAAGCTGTAATATTTATGGGAGGAATTTGTCTTGCTACTGTGGAGTAAGCTGCTTGGTTCAAATTGCTGATACTATGGTTAACAGTGAGACAAAGTAGATTTGCCTCTTTAGGGCTTCTAAGATTTTAAATCTTTACAGAATCAGACTTCATCATTTTGTTCCCATGTAGCACCTGATGTTGGTGAGTTCAAAATGCCACCCTTTTGATTAGTAGCAAAATGATTTAACCACTGTACTCCCAGAGCTCCTCTCT